GATGAATCTGCAGGCGGCATCTAAGAATTCTCAACAGCTCCTTCCAGCTCTCCAGTGCCCCTCCCAACGTTTCTGTGCCGGAATCCCTCCCCTCGCTCCGTACACTTGCTCCCTCCCCTCGCTCCCTTTGCTCGCTCCTTCCCTGCCCTCCCTTCGGCTGCTGCAGCCCCCCTCGTCGCCATCACTGCTGCCCTGCACACATACCCTTGTCAGGGTTTATGGTTTGCGGTTCTCGTGAGTGATTGGTCTGCAGGACATTGTCTAGCTGAGAAACCTTGAAAGCGTTTGTGGGTTGGGAATACCCGAAAGCATTTTTCTGACTGGGAATCCTCAGAAGCTGCTTTTGGAGTGGAACGCAACATAGCTCCCGAGAGCTGATTGCTTCAAGTTGGTTTTTTGGGAGTTCTCGGAAATCCAGGCTGATTGTTTCTGGTTTCTACATGCAGGTGCCGCTGTGCCTCTGTGCCTCGGTGCCCAGGCGTTTTCATCTGTGCACGAGATCTAATTACAACCCCTCTGTGCGATTCAATGGTAGTAAGTACATGGCAGCCCAACTGTTTAACATCGATGACTTATAATCCCTCTCTGCCTCTCTGCCTCTCTTGTCCCTCTGTGCCCTTGTCCCTCTGTGCCCTTGTCCCTCAGTGCCCTTGTCCCTCTGTGCCCTTGTCCCTCTGTGCCCTTGTCCCTCTGTGCCCTTGTCCTTCTGTGCCCTTGTCCCTCTGTGCCCTTGTCCCTCTGTGCCCTTGTCCCTCTATGCCCTTGTCCCTCTGTGCCCTCTTGTCCCTCTGTGTCCTCTTGTGCCTCCGTTCAAATTTCACCCACTCTGACCGATTCTGTGGTGGTATTCAGTCCTTAGTTGCCCACAGTAACCGCTGCACCTTTCGCCATCGATTGCCTACTATCCCTTTGTCCAGTCCCCTCTCTCCCTCGATCCCTCCTCCGCGCCCCACTGCAATTGCTGCGCCTGATCACCGTTGATGAATGATAATCCCTCTTTGCTCTTTGTTCTTTCTGTTCATTCCATCACCTTGCTCCATCCCCTCCCTCCCTCTATCCCTTCATTCCATCACCTCGCTCCATCCCTTCACTCCATCCCCTTCCTCCCTCTATCCCTTTCGCTCCGCCCCTTCGCTCCATCCCTTTCTCCCTCCCCTCGCTCTCTCCCCTCCCATCCCCTCCCATCCCCTCACTCCATCCATGCTCTCCCATTGGCTCCTGCAGCCCATCTTGCTGCCATCCCTTACTCCAACCTATGCCCCTTCTCAACAGACAGCGTAGTGATTGTGCCTGAGAGATGAATCTGCAGGTTGTTACAACAAATGTGCTGCCTCGCTTTCTCTTCTCGCTCCCCCTCTTCCCATCCCCTCACTCCATCTATGCTCTCCCATTGGCTCCTGCAGCCCATCTCGCTGCCATCCCTTACTCCAGCCCCACGACCCTTATATAGAGGCAACGTAGCGATTGCACCTGACAGATAAATCTGCTGGCTGCTACTGAACTTCTTCAACAGCCCCTTTTGAGACGTCCCAAAAGCTGCTGCCGCCCATTTCGCTGCCATCCCTCACTCCCATGCCCGTTCTCAAGGAACAACGTGGTGATTGTGCCTGAGAGATGAGTCTGCAGGCTGCTACTAAGAATTTTCAACAGCTCCTTCCAGCTCCCCAGTGCTCCTCCCAACCTTTCTGTGCCTCAACCCCCCCCCCCTTTCTCCCTCCGCTCGCTCCGTCCCCTTGCTCCCTCCCTGCCCTCCCTATAGCTGCTGCAGCCCCCGTCGTCACCACTGCTGCTTGGCACACATACCCTTGTCACATTGAAGAGGAGGTGAATAGTAACTTATCCCTCACATTGAGGGACAATGTGTTGCATGTGTGTGTGTGTGTGTGTTTGTGTGTGTGTGTGTGTGTGTGGGTGTGTGTGTGTGTGTGTGACAGATGTGATTCTGATGGGTGCGTTTCGATTTGACTGAAGCTGCTGCAACTCCCCTTGTCTGTCTCCGTCACGGTTGTCATGCGTGCGCATCCCTCTCATCATAAGGCAATGTATCCCATATGCTTGCAAGCAATATCGAGTCAAGTCCAAACTCTTTGTGAGTGATTGGCCCACAGGGCGTTGCTGGATTGAGAATCCTCAAAAGCTGCTTTTGGATTGGAACTGTGAAGTAGAGTCCAGTCCAGGAGGTAATTGTTTCCTGTGGCTGTTTTTTCACATCCAAGACATAACATGGACTGTTCTTGAGTTTCTTACCATGCTGCACCCTCCTCGCACTCCACCCTCCACCACCCCCATCCCTTCATGCCACCTCCCTTTCAGCTGCCGTGCAATTTTGACCCCGAAGCCATGCCGCTCAAATTGTTGACCTCACCATCCCTTTTCCATGCTCCACCCTCCACACCGCCATCCTTCCCCACGCTCCAACCTTCACCACCCTCCCCATACTCCCCCCCCCACCACCCCCATCCCTCCCCATGCTCCATCCCCCATCACCCCCATTCCTTCAAGTGCCCCTCTTCCGCTGCTGCGGAATTGTCACCCCAATGCCATATGGTTAGGTAGGAAGGTTGGCAGTGCCATTGACAACTTGTTTGATGGGGAAAGCAGGGGGGGATCAGAGGAGAGGGGTGGTTAAGGGAAGGGAAAAGGGAAGAGGGCGTGGAGTGGAGAAGAATGATGAGTGTGGTCATGACCTGTGGAACTCAGTTCTATGGTGGCGTGGCGTCATTAAAGCTCAGCATTGTGACGGCGATGTACCGGTACAGACACACTAGACTAACATGAAACAACAAATTCTTTTAGGGAGCTGATTTTTATAAGACGGGTTGTACCGGTACAGACACACTAGACTAACATGAAACAACAAATTCTTTTAGGGAGCTGATTTTTATAAGACGGGTTGTACCGGTACAGACACACTAGACTAACATGAAACAACAAATTCTTTTAGGGGGCTGATTTTTATAAGACGGGTTGTACTGATACAGAGTATATAGTAGACCGTTCCCGTTCCTCTCTTTCATTCCCCTTTTTTCCTATCAAATTTGAACAGCCCTGGGTGGCGTGTGGACCTGGATTCTTCATACCGGTGTTCCTCTTTCGTGAGCAGCAGGGCCTCAGATTCGTTTTTAGCTTGGCTGATACGTCAGCCTTAGCAGGCTATGCTGGGCTGATCAATCAGAGTTGGTTGAAAAATAAAAACTGAAATTTCAGACAAGTCACAAAAAAAAACGCTGACTAATCAGCCTCACTAAAAACACGCAGGCTGAACTGGATTGGTTCTATGTTTAGGGCACGCACATGGATGCAGGTTCGGGGTGGGTGAGATGGGGTGAGGTGGGTGTCCTTGTCGTGAGTGCGTGCGGTGCGTTGCTGTGCTGCACTGGTGGTGGGTGATTGGCGCATAAGGGATGTGACAACCAATCACATCAATTAAAGCATTCTGTCGGTGACAACGAAGCACCGACGCGTCGGGGAAATTCGTTTTCCCCCGCGTCGGCGCTGTACATGGTGACTTTTGCGTGATTGACAGGTGGATGTACCTGGACAGCCGAAACTCACGGCTCTGGCACGAATCTGTAATAGCGTGAGAGTTCAGCCTACACTCTCGTTATAAATCAGCCAACACTTGTAAAAAAACGCTGGAAAATCAGCCAATACATAAAAAAAAAACCTGAACAATCAGCGAACACTTAAAAAAAAAAACTGAATCATCAGCCAACACATCAGCCACAAGTCTGGGAAATCAGCGTCCAGACCCTAAATCAGCCTTTTTTCGCTGACTTCTGAGGCCCTGGTGAGCAGTGAGAGCGAGCACCCCCTTCTTTTTCTGAGATCATTATAATGCCCTTGCCCGTAATGTCGAGGTAATAATAGCTGTTGTTGATTACATGATTAGGGGTTGTTTATCGGAGGCGCTTGTTAGAATTAGGCTGTCAACACTTTGTGTACTATATTCTATATCGCGTATGTTATTTGCGGGTTGGGTGCAGTTTGTGATCCCAACCCTATCTGGTTGGGATTCCCTCGTAATCCTGCAAATCTGCCAACTCACCAATTGGAGATTTGCTAGGATTCCCATCCCATCCTTTCCCTAGCCTTGCCCATCCCAACCTCGTTTGTACTTAAGGCCTAGTGCCTTCTTTCCTAATCAATCAGTTGAGCTCCATTATTATCAGCGCTTCGCAACATGTCATGGGAAAATCCTTCGGAGGAACTAAGTAGTGCTGGTTGGTAGTAGTCTAGTAGATCTACAAGGTTTGCTACAGCAGACCCTTCAGGAAACTTACCCAAAAGCATGCTCAACTGTTGTTGACAAAGCGGTAACCTTGAATACAGTAACAGTACTTCTGAAAACAGTCATTGCCGTATGTACATGCATGCGCTTGATTGACATGCCGCACGCACACACTGGCAGTCTGGCACCTGCTTCGGCACCGCTGCCACGATGAAGGGGGAGGGTAGCAGCTGACACGAGAAAGGGCGCTTGGCTTGGCTGGTACGTGTAGGATGGGAGAGTGCCATGCATGCACTTGCTTCACACTTGCACACCCTGGCACCTGCATCAGCACCGCTGCTGTGATGAGGGGGGAGAGTAGCAGCTGACACGAGAAAGGCCGATTGGCTTGGCTTGGACGGTACCGGTAGGATGGGAGTCCCCTGCAGGCGCTTGCTTGACATGCTGCACCCACTGGCAGTCTGGCACCTGCTTCGGCACCGCAGCTGCTATGAGAGGGGAGAGTAGCAGCTGACACAGGGAAGGGCAACTCCCCCTCTCCCCCTCTCTGCCTCCGCCAGCAGCTCTTGAGCAGCCTGTGCGCCCCATCAATGTGTGAAGGGGATAGGCGAGATGCATGAGGAGAGCAGGAGGTGTGGGTGGGGCCAATGCACGCCCAACCCTCCTGCCACAGCTCCCTCTCCCTCTCCGCCTCTGCCAGAACGCTCTTGATTGACCAGCCTGTGCACCCCATGGGCGCGCGTACAGCCCCTGCACTTCTTCCCACCACTCATGCACCAACTGCCTCCTTCCCCTCCTTCCCCTCCCACTCCCGCCCCGCCTGCCCCTCCTGCCACAGCGCCCTCCCCCTCTCTGCCTCTGCCAGCACGCTCTTGAGCAGCCTGTGCGCGCCATTGTCGTCCAGAATGGCCACGGCACTCACTTTACACCGAGGGCGGTTTAGAGCCTGGCAGGCAGAGCAATGCAGTGCAAGCAAGGGGTGAGGAGAGAGTGAAGGCACTGCAATGCAAGCATGGGCCCATGGTCGTTCAGAATCGCCACGGCACTCACTCGGCAGCGCGGGCGATTTAGTGCCTGGCTGGCAGGGAGGGATGAGAGGTTAGTGGAAGGAGTGGGTGAGGGCAATGCAAGGCAAGCACGGCCCCATTGTCGTCCAGAATGGCCACGGCACTCACTTTACACCGAGGGCGGTTTAATGCCTGGCAGGGAAAGGTGGGAATGGGGGGTGTGTTGCAAGGATAAAGGGCGAGGAGTGGGTGAGGGCACTGCAACTGCAATGCAAGGCAAGGCAAGCGCTGTCCCATTGTCGTCCAGAATGGCCACGGCACTCACTTTACACCGAGGGCGGTTTAGTGTCTGGCAGAGCAATGCAGTGCAAAAGTGAGGAGATGGGAGGAGATGGGAGGAGATGGGAGGATATGGAAGGAGATGGGAGGTGATGGGAGGAGATGGGAGGATATGGGAGGAGATGGGAGGATATGCGAGGAGATGGGAGGATATGGGAGGAGATGGGAGGAGATGGGAGGAGACGGGAGGAGATGGAAGGAGATGGGAGGAGATGGGAGGATATGGGAGGATATGGGAGGAGATGGGAGGATATGGGAGGAGATGGGAGGAGATGGGAGGATATGCGAGGAGATGGGAGGATATGGGAGGATATGGGAGGAGATGGGAGGATATGGGAGGAGATGGGAGAATATGGGAGGAGATGGGAGGATATGGAAGGAGATGGGAGGTGATGGGAGGAGATGGGAGGATATGGGAGGAGATGGGAGGATATGGGAGGAGATGGGAGGATATGGGAGGAGATGGGAGGAGATGGGAGGAGACGGGAGGAGATGGAAGGAGATGGGAGGAGATGGGAGGATATGGGAGGATATGGGAGGAGATGGGAGGATATGGGAGGAGATGGGAGGAGATGGGAGGATATGCGAGGAGATGGGAGGATATGGGAGGATATGGGAGGAGATGGGAGGATATGGGAGGAGATGGGAGAATATGGGAGGATATGGGAGGAGATGGGAGGATATGGGAGGATATGGGAGGAGATGGGAGGATATGAGAGGAGATGGGAGGATATGGGAGGAGATGGGAGGAGATGGGAGGATATGGGAGGAGATGGGAGGATATGGGAGGAGATGGGAGGAGATGGGAGGATATGGGAGGAGATGGGAGGATATGGGAGGATATAGGAGGATATGGGAGGATATGGGAGGAGATGGGAGGATATGGGAGGATATGGGAGGAGATGGGAGGATATGGGAGGAGATGGGAGGATATGGGAGGATATGGGAGGATATGGGAGGAGATGGGAGGATATGGGAGGAGATGGGAGGATATGGGAGGAGATGGGAGGATATGGGAGGATATGGGAGGAGATGGGAGGATATGGGAGGAGATGGGAGGATATGGGAGGAGATGGGAGGATATGGGAGCATGCAAGCGGGGGAAAGGAGGAGAGGGTGCGGGCGATGCAGCATTGTCGTCCAAAATGGCTATGGCACCGAAACAAATGGCAGCACGGGCGGTTGAAGGCCTGGCCTGGAGGGAGTGAACGTGAACATGCAGGGCGAAGAGGAGATGGGAACATGCAAGGCAAGCACGGCCATATTGCCGTCCACAATCTCCTCAGCAGTCGCGAGACACCGCAGGTGATTCAATGCCTGGCGGCATGGGAAAAAGGCGAGAGAGACTGACAGGGCAATGCATGCCAGAGAGTTGCAATGAAGGGAGTGAGCGACTTGTGCTGCTTTACAACAACAGCGACTGGTTCCTTTCCAGTTTGCCTGGTCACTCACATGACATGATGGCATGCTACATTGCGAGCCCCCTACTTCCCACCTTAGCCTGCACTCACCTTGGCTAGGCAGCGTTGGAAAATTCAGCACCTTCACCTGTAGGCACCTGAAAGAACCCCTGTTGAACCTTCAGCAGTGGGCATGCGAATGCTGCATGCATCACCCCTCACGCATGGACTTCTAGGATAGAACCAACAGCCCAGCTTACCGTGCACTACCTGACAGCACCACAGGCCACCACATTCAACACCTGCACTCACCTTGGCGAGTCGCCGTCTGGAGAGAGCCACAACCACGGGAATGCTCCGCGTGGTGGCATCTGATAGGATGGACGTGAGGGCCGCATCAAGACCGCCTGAGGAACATAGGGGAGTGGGGATGGGTTGGGTGGGTGGGATGGTGGGACGGTGGATAGGTAGGGCTGGTTTGAACTGGGAATGGTGTGTGCAGCCGCATCTGATAGGATGGCTGCAAGGGCCATGTTAAGACCAATTGGTGGGCAGAAAAGGGGGTGGGGAACGGGGGGAGGGGAGGGGAGAAGGGGCATTTGGAATGCTGCTGCGTGCAGCAGCATAGGACAGCATCTGACGGTCCAATCAGCTTTCATTCGACGTCAGAGCTGACTCACGACCGCCTGATGGAAGGTGGATGGGTGAGAGAGCAGCGTGAAGACCACCTGGGATACAATGCCACACCACACGGTATGGGGAGAGGGCGGAGGCAAAGGTGATCAGGGTGGATAGGAGTGGTGGTTGGATTCTGCGCAGCGCACACCATTTGAAAAAAGCATAAAGCATCTCTCACATCATCACCCTCCCACCCTTGCCTCCCTTCCCCACCTCCCCCCTTATCCCCCTTCACTCACCTGCCGCAGCCACCTCCTCCACGTTGTGTTGGGCGGCCGGCAGCACCACACACTTGGCCCTCCCTCCTTCCAGCACTACCCAGTTGTGCATGATTCACTACTATCTCAGTCCTTACCATCTCATCCCCCATACCTCACCTGCCCCAGGCACCTCCTCCACGTTAGGCGCCAGCACCACACACTTGACCCTCCCACTGCGCACCGCCTGCCCCACCTCCTTCAGCCCTGCCAGCACCCGCCGCCGCATCGCTCCCTGTGCACGGGGGGGATGAGTGGAACCGGGGTGGGGGAGAAAAATGACGGGATCTCCTTCAGCCCCCCTCGGTCTTGCTTGCGTCGCCTCAAAAGCCATGCCCATTCCCCCCCCAGGCTCACCTTAATGGGGTCCTTCTGAAGCGCCCTGACTTGGAATCGCAGCAGCTCCCCCAGCAGCTCAGCCACGAGTGCGTTGAGCTCGGGTGTCACCACCTGCTCGGCGTACCTGGGGGGGGGAAAGGAGGGGTACGAGGAGGGGGGAGGAGACATGGGTGGGGAAAGATGGGAATGAGGAGGGGGGAGGGGGCGAAGGAGGAGGGGGGAGGTTGGGAGGGAGGAGAAAGGGGGTACGGTGCAGCAGCCCTGCCAGCAGTGCAGGCACGCGAGCGTTCAGCTCTCGTACCTGAATGTTGTGCAAAGGCGAGGGGGGCGGTGCGTGGGAGAAAGAGAGGGCTATGAAAGAGAGGAGATGCGAGGGTGGGAGGAGATGGGTGATGCGGAGGAGACGGGTGATGCGGAGGAGACGGGTGATGCGGAGGAGACGGGTGATGCGGAGGAGACGGGTGATGCGGAGGAGACGGGTGATGCGGAGGAGACGGGTGATGCGGAGGAGACGGGTGATGCGGAGGAGATGGGTGATGTGGAGGAGACGGGTGTAGCAAGGGGTGGGGGGGGAGGTGAAGCTTTGGGGGAAGGCTGTGAACATTTGAGCAGTGATCCAAGCAAATTCAGAGGCGCCTCAAAATATGATTCAGGTGAAGCTCGAGGGAACATGCGATCGCCAAGGCAAGGCCGAAGCTCGATCGAATGGCAAGTGATAGACTCACTGTCTCACTTCCTTCCTCCTTGCCTCACCTGCTGCATGCCTCCACGCCAATGTAAGTGGTCGGCTGCGTTTGCCTTTTCGCCTCGCTGTCTTCTTGCCCACTCTTCTCTTCCCCTCCCTTCTCTTCCCCTCCCTTCTCTTCCCCTCTCTTCTTTTCCCCTCCCTTCTCTTCCCATCCCTTATCCTCCCCTCCCTTCTCCTCCCCTCCCTTCTCCTCCCCTCCCTTCTCCTCCCCTCCCTTCACCCCTTCCCCATTCTCCTCCCCTCGTTTCTCCTCCCCTCGCTTCTCTCCTCCCTTTCTCCTCCCTCGCCTTTGCCTACCCACTCGTTTCCCACTCACCTCCCTCCCGCCCACTTTTCCGTCCAGTCCCTGCCCACCCTCCCTCGCCACCATCCCCTCCTCCCCCCCGCCCTCCCTCGCCACCATCCCCTCCTCCCCCCCGCCCTCCCTCGCCACCATCCCCTCCTCCCCCCCGCCCTCCCTCGCCACCATCCCCTCCTCCCCCCCGCCCTCCCTCGCCACCATCCCCTCCTCCCCCCCGCCCTCCATCCCACCCTCCCCTAACCTTTCTCTCCTGTCTCCCCTCTCTGGCCCCTCACTCGCCTCTCCCACCCCCTCCACTGTGGCAGCACACCCCTCTTCACGCCTCTCATGCTCCACCCATCCCATGCCTCCTCCATTCCTCCCACCATCACCATGCACCACACGCTCTTCTTCCTCCCCTTCCTCCTCCTCCTCCTCCTCCTCCTCCTCCTCCTCCTCCTCCTCCTCCTCCTCCTCCTCCTCCTCCTCCTCCTCCTCCTCCTCCTCCTCCTCCTCCTCCTCCTCCTCCTCCTCCTCCTCCTCCTCCTCCTCCCCTTCTCCCTCTCCCATTCCCACTCTCTCCCCCGCTTCCTCTCCCAACCTCTCCCATTCCCTCACCTTCTCTCCCGTTCCCTCCCTCTCCCCCTCCGCCTCCCTATTCTCCCTTTCCCCCTGCCCTCCCTCCCCTGTCTCCCCCTCCCCGCGCGCCTGTCTCGCCAGCACCACCATCCGCTTCAGGCGGCTCACTCGCTTCTGCTTCGGTGTCTGCCTCTCCTTTCCCCGCCTCACGCCAATGCTCTCCGAAGTTGCAGGGTTCACCAGCACCCGACCCCCCTCTCGCCCCCCTCCGCGCTCCCCCCCGTTCTCCCAATTGCGCCCCTTCTCTCTCCCCCTCTCGAGCTCCTTGCGCGCGCTCTCCCCTTTTCCCTCTCGCCCGCCCGCCCCCACACTTCCGCCTGCCACTTCTCCCCTCCTCCGCCCTCCTGCTCCGCCCCCTGCTCCCCCTGCTCCCACCCCTTGCCTCGTTTCCGCCAAAACCAAGCCACGCGCGCTAGCATCCTCACTTCCCCCTCCTCTCCCTGCGCCTCCTCTCCCCGCTCCGCCTCCCTTTTCGCATCCGCGCGGCCGCCCGTCACTAATACCCGCATTTGCCCTTCCCGTCCCACTGGCGCGCGGGCCAATTTCCGCGGATTCGCGCGCAGCGCGGGTGGCAACAGAAGCGGTGGCGGCGGGCCCGGTGGCGGCGGCGAGGAAATGATCGAGACGAAGCGCGACCGGCGCGGGCTTCCACCGCCTCTTCGCGCCGCCTCCGCCGCCGCCGCCGCTTCCGCCTATGCTGCTCGCAGCGACGCTGCTGCCTCCGCCGCCGCCACCGCCGCTGTCTCCGCCGCTGCCGCCGCCGGGGGCGCGCGCGTGCTTGTCCCACCCGCCAATCCCGCTGCTCCTCGCGACTCTGCTGTCGCGTCTTCCAGCCATCGTTAATTTGATATTTTCGCTCTTTCGTCGTCTACCGTCGCTCTCTCGTCGCCAGGATGTCGTTTTGTCCCCTTACTCGCACCCAGTGCCTCATTTCTGGCTGAACGCTTTTGGTACGCAATTTTAGGAGATCCGAAACTATTTATGAATGATGTGAAGTAGGGAAATCAGACTTGCTAAGAAAACAACATGAAAACAACAAGAAAGCACATTAGGTAACCCTCAAAAGAGATTTTACTCCTCAAATTCTATCAGAATTAGGGGATTTTTTATCAGCATAAATTAATCTGATGCAGTGATAATCAAGGTGATATTATATATGATAACAATATAAGATTTCTATCATAAATTAAATTTTTGTTGTGATCAAAAGTTGATCGAGCCTAGGTCACCTCACGAAGGTTCGCACAGAGTAAATTGCAGCGGAAAATTTTACCTCAGGTTAGAGTGAATATAAAGTGACTGAGATTAATACAACAAAGGCATACATTTGTAAAATTGTACGGTAATACAAAGTAAAACCAAATGTCCCAGATAGCCAAGTACTTTAAGGGTTACATTTTTCAGAATCCCAACCACTAGACCATTGGGATGAAAGGGCTTGTTAAGTAGCGGGTCAGTGCGCCCATAATCCCCCAGGCCAATGTGCCTGTAACCTTTCCTTAGGATCAATCGGGGATCACCAGTAGACCTCTGACACCCCCCCGCACTATGATGCCCGAACTGCATACACCGGGATTCGAACCCGAAACCTTCGCTCTGATACCATGTCAGAATCCCAACCACTAGACCATTGGGATAAAAGGGCTTGTTAAGTAGCGGGTCAGTGAACCCATAAACCCCCAGGCCAATGTGCCTGTAACCCTTCCCTAGGATCAACCGGGGATCACTAGTGGACCTCTGACAACATTCCCTTATTGCAACGGTACGCAACTATGCAACTCCAGACGGTTAAAAACTTGTTCCCGCCAAAATTCTTCGTGCTGCAGCTGCCCGATGCTTCTGCCCTGACGGCCCCGATGCTACCAACCGTACGCGACATTTCGCGTCTGCTTCTGCTGATGACAGGGCAACCAGTTCCTATTTTTGCGAGTTCCATAAGATGGTACCTGTTGGCTCAAGTCGTAACAGTAATCCAGTCCTTGGCCGACGATTGTCGGGATCAGCGGCGTGATCGGCGCTAATGAGGTTGAATGAGGGAGTCGTGACTATGGAGTAGCGGATCATAATGTTGGCTGTAGGGATGAAGAATTGAAGGGCGCGCCGAAGATCTAGAAAATTCTTAGCCGTTGGTTTGCGAGAGTACTGAGAGCTGGAGCGTGATGTAGGAGAGGTTGGGCCTGCATGTTACTGATGCGAAGAGCAGGCAACATTGCAGCTGCTGGTAGGTGTGAAGTCCTATGTAGGATAGGGCTTTGTTGTCAGGTTTTTGGTTCATTCTAGGCGTGCGATAGGTGAGAAAATGTGAACGAGGATGAATGAACTATGAAACAGTTGGGTACAAGTACTAACCCTAATTGGGTTGTACCCCATATGGGCTACCCCACTACAGCCTACACAAAAGCATAAGCTATAATGTTCTCACAATAGGGGATTGAGAGTGGTGCAGGGGAGATGTTAAAGTGCTTCCCAAGCGTTTCAGCGTACTTAGCACCAGAGATGTGAATGGATTATGGGGCATAGGAGATATTAAGGCCTAGAAACTACTTCACCTGGTGATTAGTGATGATGTCGACGACCATCGCCAGGTTCATTTCAAACTGATCAAGCAGTGCGTTGCTCGTCCTTGTGTAGAGCAGATCATCTAAGTACACGGTGAGTAGGATGTAGTCGATACTTAAATGTAGGTAATACATCCCGGGGTCATGCCGCAGCTGTGTGAGTCCTATTTCGAGAAGAATTGTGCAGATGCTGCTGCCAGAGCCTCGGCGCTTGTTTGAGCACGTAAAGAAGTTTCTTGAGCTGACACACGCGCGATTCACCCTCGCCGTAAGTGTGCGGCTGATCCACGGAAATCAGTGCATCCACTAATGCTTATAGGAACGCTTTCTCTATGTCGATTTGACGGTTTAAGGAGATGCCTTGCTGCAGCGGCCGCGAGTAGGATTCCCACGGAGGTATGGCGACTGACCGGGGTGAAGGCCCGCTCAAGATCTATGCCGTGCCTCTGGTCGTACCCACTTACCGCTGGTGATCCCCGATTGATCCTAGGGAAGGGTTACAGGCTCGCTGGCCTAAGGGGTTATGGGCGCATTGACCCGCTACTTAACAAGCCCTTTTATCCCAATGGTCTAGTGGTTGGGATTCTGACACGGTATCAGAGCATTAGGTCACAAAGACCTTAGAACCGTTTTTTTTTAGGGCCCACCACCTACCGTTTGTGGTTACCACGCTACCCCGCCCCATGCTCTGCCCTGCCCTGCAGTGCGCAGCTCCGCGCACCCCCCGCCTTAGCCCTGTGCACGCCCTGCTAGCAGCTCACACGGCCCGCGCGTCGCCTCTGCTGGCCCGCGTGCCGCCCGCTAGCAGCCCGCGCGACCCGCTTGCTGTCCGTGCAGCCCTGCGTGCTGCCTCGCCGACCGCCTGCTGCGCCCCACGCGTCGCCCGTCACGCTGCCAAGCAACCCCGTGCGATGCCCTCCCTGCTGCCCTGCCGGCCCCCTGCAGCGCCGTGCGCCGCGTGCCCTGCTGCCGCGGCTGCCTGCTGCGCCCACCCGCCGCCCGCACTGTCCGCGATCTGCCTGCACACCCAGCGCATGGCCCTAAGCGCCACTGCCCTGTGCCCTGCCCGCCCTGCCAGCGCTGCAGCCGCTGCTACGCTGCTACTGCTGCCAGCGCCGCACTGCCCCGCTGTGCCCGAGCCGCGCCGCACCGCCCGAGCCGCGCCGCACCGCCCGAGCCGCGCCGCACTGCCCGAGCCGCGCCGCACCGCTTGAGCCGCGCCGCCTTGCTGAGGCGCGTCACGCTGCCTAGGGGCCTGGCATTAGGTTTCTACTGCTGCACTGCTGCTTCTACTGTTGCTGCTGCTACTGCTGCTTGCCTGCAATCGCTCTGCCCTGCCAGTCGTGCGCCAGCAGCTATGGCCACCAACCCCGTTCTGTCGTTCAATACTGAGGGCCACCCGATTCAGTTTGAGACCTGGTTCAATGGCCTGCAGCTGTTCCTAATCAGCGATAGCAAGGATAACGTCTCTCTCTTTGACCACACGTCTGGTGCCTCAGTCGCTCCTGTTGCCATAGCTGAGCTCCCTCATATTTAAGGGGTGCTCTCCCTCTCCCCTCGCCCCCTCCTTCGCTACTGCTGCTGCTGTTGACTTCCTTGGTGCTGAGTCTGTGAGAATTGAGGAAGGGTGAGGAGCCATAGCTAGGGTTAGCTAGCTAGGCAAGAGAGAAATGAAGAAAGGAGGAATGAATGAACTAGGAAAGAGGTGGGTACAAGTAGGAAAACCTAGAAATGTTGTACCCCTTCTTGTCTACCCAACAACAGCCTACACAGACTATAGCATATAAGTTTGACACACCCCCATAGACAAAGTGGGGGAGAACAAGAGGTCACAAGACCAGTCAAGCAAAGCAAAGCAAGCTCAGGGTGGATCACAACGTCACCACACATTCCGAGCACAAGAGCAAGGCCACAAGGCCAGTTCACATGCAAGATCATATATAAAGGTAAACAAGCAAGTGCAGGTATAGAAAGATCACAGTACAAGCAAGGTCAAGAAGTGAGCAAGTGAGGCCAAGTAGGCACAAGACCTAGCATCGTACAGAAGCGCTAATGATCACAAGGCGGAAGTGCCTTGGTAAAGATATCAGCAGTGTTGGCCTCAGAGGCCACGTAAGCAAGGCGCAGCTGACCACGCTGCTGCAGCTCACGAGCAAGGAAGTAGCGAAGAGCAATGTGCTTCGTTCTGTGCTCCAGTCTGTGCTCCCGACACAAGTCCAGCATGGCCTTGTTGTCTACGTACAGAACTGGAGGAGAACGAGGCGACTCTCCTAGGTCAGTCAGCAGGTAGGTGAGCCAGCGTAGCTCCTGTGCAGCCATGGCCCCCGCGTAGATCTCAGCCTCACAGCTGGAGCTGAGAACAGAAGACGAGCGGGTAGACCGCCACGAAACAGAACCGGAGCCAAGGCTGAAGGTGTAACCCTGTGACGACCGCTGCAGAGCCTCGTCGTCAGCCCAAGAAGCGCCAGCGTGACCTGTGAGGACAACTCGACGTCGCCCTCCAAGCACTAGCCCCATGCCCGACGTACTGCACAAGTAGCGCAATACCCTCTTCGCTGCGGCCATGTGCTCTGGTCAGTGTCTGCCAGGAGCAACATAGCGTGCCAAGATGCTAAGAGGGTGTGCAAGGTCAGGTCGTGTGCAGGTCATCAGGTACATAAGGCAGCCAACAAGCTCTGGGTACGGGCCACTCGGCTCTACGGACTCATCCGAAGGCAGAGCTGAGAGCGAGTGGCGAGTAGACAGAGGAGTGGCCTGAGGCGAGGAGTACGTGAAGTCGAAGCGCTGAAGGACCTGCTGCACCATGTGTGACTGAGTCAGGGTAATGGTGCGCTGTGCTCTGTCCCGGGTGATCTGCAAGCCAAGGTAGCTGCGCAGTTCACCCAGGTCTGTGCACGTGTGTCTCTTCTGCAGCTCGGACTTCATGTGGGCGAGTCCAGCAGTGTCAGCAGTGGCAAAGATCAAGTCGTCGACGTACACGAGGATGTAGAACGGCGGCAAAGAGGTGTCGGTGCGCAGAAACAACGACGGGTCGGCAGTAGAAGAAGCGAACCCAAGAGCCGCAAGCGTAGTCCTCAGTGTGTCGTGCCACTCACGGGGCGCCTGGCGGAGACCGTAGACTGGCCGCCGGAGGCTCCACTGGGTACCAGGAGGAAACGACCCAGTAAAGCCAGGTGGGCGGCGCAGCAAGATCTCCTCGTGCAGGCTGCCCTGCGTGAAAGCTGTGCTGAAGTCAAGAGAGTGAAGCTCGTAGTCGCGGTGAGCGGCTATGTGCAGCAG